ATAGAATAGAATATAGTATAGTATAGTATAGTATAGTATAGTATAGTATAGTATAGTATAGTATAGTATAGTATAGTATAGTTTTCGGAATAGGACAATTGTTAGAACTGACGGCATCGCCGAGGGTATGATACAGGTCCCCTACGGCCGATTTGCAAAGTCCTGCATAGGACGTGTACCACTTGTATTGAAAATTGTCATCTCCAGAGGTCTTGGGAACCTCTGTCACAACGGATCAGTTCGGTCTGGACAAACGCCCTCTTATTCTGATCATATTAATCATTAAAAACTCGAGACGGGTTTGGCTAAATTGCCGAAATCGGCTCCACCAGCCTCGCAGCATATCGTCAGCTTGGTCGGCTGACATGTATAATTGCCCAGCCACGTGTCTCCAGCCTCTCATTGCTACGGGCATTAATGCGCTTGGTCACTTGTAGGGAAATCTGGGTGCAGGCATAAGCACACACGTTCCAAACTTCATCACACTCTGAAGTATGGGCCCTTTTGGCTACCCGAATAAGGGGTGCAGAGGGTGAAGGAGGGTGGTGGACAGAGAGTTATGGAAACCTTGCACCACGATCGGCCTCGCCATGTCGTTTGCTGGCCTCAGTCGGCAACCCAGGCACCGACCCAGGCGACCTGGTTGACGAAGAGGCTCAGGAGAGGGACAATTGCAGGCGCACACATACACACACAAACATAAACACATGCCAGCCTCAACACCTGCTGTCCAGTCCGACATTGCAAGGGCCTCTGTGCTCATATGAAGCTGGAGACCCGTAATTGGGATGTATGGAAATGCCCAGGCTCCCGACATGTTTATTGCTCATCCAGATTCTCCGGCCAGCTGTGTTGGCGTTGTATTGGTCAGGCCGTAAGAGGTTGAGGCTGAGAACCAGAAGTGGGCAAATATTTTCATCAAGCGTTATGCTTCCGGAGCCGAGATCACACTATGCAAATCTCAAAGGTAGCATCAATCAGCCTTATTCACTCTGCTTCAGGCATATGGTCCGGTTCCGGCATTGTGCTTTCGTCGAAGGGTCACGTGAACCGGGCTCAGCTATGACGTAATAGGGGACTTGCTTACTTACTGTACCTAATGGCCAATTACTGAGGCTGGCCGGATGAAAGGGTTTTCAACTGGTTTGTATGTGGCTTAGTGGGAGATGAATGAGCAGGTGGACACAAGGCAGGCTGTATGAAGTAGGCACAAATGTGTACGTGTGTTTGTGTGTGTATGTGTGAGGGAGGGAGAGATAGACCGAAATGAAGCGGCCGATGGGAGTCAAAGAGTTATGAAACCTCTGACAGTAGGGGTGTATGAAGAGGGGACTGGATGACTTGTCGGAAAACTGGGCGGCCAGATTGTGGTTTTATTCGTTTACTGGTATAAAATACTCACACATCCGCATACCCACAAACACGCAGACATACACCAAATGTACAGCGGTCTCGGAAATTTGCAACACTTGTACGCCTTTCTTCGCTCTCGGCACTCTCTCTTCCCTGAGATGGACAGCTCTGCTCGAAGGTAATCACCATTCTTCGCCTTTTGATGACACTGCCCTTCCTCCCCGAATCCCGGCCTCAAGTCTCTCGGCCTGAGCAGGCACAAGATGAGATAGAAGGGCCCCAGATGGGGCGACATTTGGTTGGTCGACAGGTGGGCGGAGTGGCTTTAAAAAATAAAGCACTCTTTCTCAGGGACTCATCCGGACCCGGTGCTTTGCGTTTGCCTCGGTCGAGAGGGAGTTGAGCCCAGGTCCACGGACTGGCGTCCTGGACCTCTCAGACCCGGTTACTCGGTAGCTTATTAGGCTGGAGCATGTGAACACAGCTGCCATCCACCCCGGAGGTCCAACTGGTCTTCACAGCTCTGAGACCAGGCAGTAAGGCCTGCGAGACTTGCAGGTGGTGGCTTACGAAGAACCTGTACCAAATGGCCATCAAGTTTGGCCTCGCAATGTCTTAGCAGCCACTTTTCGTCCGACTAGTCTGTACCGCAGCACAAACCGCCCTTGTAGTGCCCTTGGCAAAACCAAACGTCCCTGAGCACAGGACTTACAAACAGACAAATAGATGGCATGGAATAACACAAATCCGAGCAAGGCAAAATACATATTCCTATCGAAAGGGTTAGTTTTCTGGATGCTAAGCAAGTTTGGTAATTACAATCAACATGTAGGTCTGATATGTATGAAGTGTATTCGGCTCATTCAAATGCCAGTCGCTTTATCACCTTAAACGGAAAAGTGTGATTACACTTCGTGTATACATGATCTACTGGCAGTCTCGAAAAT